AAATTTAATAATTGTTTTACACGTGTTTGATAAGAATGTGATGGGAAAAATATTTTAAGTCAACATTAAAAATAAAATTATATATATATATATATGTACCAGGTTATTCATAAGTGAGTACATTGATTATCTCGGAAAGTATAAACTTTTTCGGAATTTGTTTTCTAAAACATTTAAAAAAACAAGCTGCTTTACAATTTTATATTTGTATTATTTTTTTTCACCCTTATAGTTGGTAGTAAAACTACTTAATTTGGAAAACGCCAACCTATATTAAAAAGTCCATAAATAAATTGAGTATTACTTAAAATAGATTTTAGTGTTGACATTTNTGATTTCTATCAAGCCGTTGACGAGGTATTCCTCTTCTAATTTTAGGTTGTAGGAGACTAGTGGTGCATTATTATTATCATTATTAACACCTCGTGCTCCATATCGCTGTACTTATGGTACTTCACCATTCTCCTTCAACCCAAACTTTAAAGTGGAATATCTCGTCAACGTATCGACGGATCAATTTATGGACTTTTTAATACAGGTTGCCATTTGGAAATTAAAAGTAAGTAGTTGTTTTACTCCCAAAAATAAGGATGTCAACAAATAACACAAATATAAAATTACGGAGCAGCTTGTTTCTTAAATATTCTAAAAAAAAAAAAAATACCGTAAATGTTAATAATTTTTGAGATAATAAATGTACCCATTTAAATGAATTACTTGGTACACGTAAGCCATTGATGTTTCGTACATTAAAAGTACTGTGAAGATAATTTACGTGAATATTATACAATTTCGATAATATAAATCTTAATAGTGAGTTCAATATTATAATAAGTGTATTTAAGGCAGACTCAGATGCATTTCCTTTCCCAAATAACAATACCATAGTTAATAACAGACTATACAAGATATGTACATACATATACTTTGATTTTTTAATATTAAGTTACATTAGATTATTTTTGAACCAGTTATTAGTTTTCTCTAAGATGAGTATAGCTAATTTATTGAATTCGTCGAGGTATCACTAACCAAAATTAATGAAAATGTATCATCTACAAAACTAATCATTTTAGCGTTTAAATTTAAATCAAATAAATCATTGGTGTACCATTGGTAGATTAAAATATTAGAGGTCCTTACAATGTACCTTGAAGGATTCCATAGTTATTAGTTAAATGATTAAACGTTACTCAAAACATTATCTACTAACCGCTTGATGTCTTTCCGCGGAAACCAACATATTCCAGTTTGTTGATTAAAATTATAAGATTTACTGAATCGAACGCTTTTCTTAAATCAAGAAAAATGTCCATAATTTTTTTTATTACTATGAATATTTTCCCTAATGTATATATCTGTTTAAACCTGAGCGTTAATTGTTCATTTCCCTAATTAAAAACCATATGGATTTTTTGAAAAAAAAATGTGTATATATTAGGGTGTCCCATGCTATAAGGGCCGACATTTTTTTTTTGGAATTGAGACACGCATACCCTTAATTTTTTTACCATTTGACCCTCATAACTTAAATAATAAGAATTTTTGATATCGGATTATGTTTACCCGTGCTGACTTGATATCAAAGTTTAATATACAAGTTATTAGTATGGTAGACTTATAGGGATTTTATAACTTAATATTTATTCAATAGTTACGTGAAGATCTAGTTGGTATACGTGCCTTTTCCCAATTAATAATGCACTCACGAATAGTAAGATTTGCGCTTTGATTGACACTTAAATTTACTTCACGAATATTATAGAACAGAACTACCAGTACTCTTCCATTAGAGGGTCGTTTTGAACCGTTAATTTGATGTTTTACGTAGCCTATAAAAAATACTCCCTTTTTAGGACTGTGTAATTCTACAGACATGTTGACCGAATGAAAACAATACAAATAGATCGCACACGAAACGGCACACAGCACACAATACACTGATACCTATATTATATTATTTTATAAAAGTAAGACGTTTAGCTGTTATCGATGGACGGCGACGAACAATCAAAAATTATAAATAGATATATTTATAGTTAAACAGTATATTAAATAATAATAATAGATACAGTTTATGATATTTCTACAGTATACTGATAAAACGAACAAGAAATAATGAGCACAACAACGGGAGGTAACATATAGTAGTGACATGTTTAGATCCAAGTCGTCACAGGTTACCGTGGTTCTAAGTACATGAAATTGTATTTAAAATTGTTTTGACATCATCCAAACAAAATCAGAGGGTATGCGTTGAAATAAAAAAACTTGTATTTTTTTGGGACACCCTAATATATATACCGGATATAAA